TATAATCTTGTTTTTATTAATTTTCTTTTCTTTTGTGCAATTATCTGTTAATAAATCTAGTCGTTACGCTTCGTGAAGTTGGACTCCACGTGTACAGCTGTTCTCGTTTAGCAGGGAACGTACTCAGCGGCGTCGGTGCAGCAGAGGGGCTGCTGACTCGTGACGGGAGTCAGCTCCCAGGGGCCGTCGCACAGCTCGTAGAAGGCGTACACCTGCGGAAGCCCAAAAAATCAGTTCTCATCCACCATAACGAGTTTCGTTTTCACAAATCAGCCCAAATTTGAACATCTAAAGGACAGGACAATTCCATTTTAGACAAAAAAGAGGAAGGGGTGGAAAATACTCTGATATATCATAGCAGTTTCTTGAACGCAGTATTGGTTTTGAGGTATATTTCTACGGATTTCAAGCAAATGATAGTAACGCATATGTGTTTATGTCAACTAGCATACACAGACTCACAGACAGAGAGAGAAATAGTAACAAAGAGAGAGCGAGACTCACGTTCTCGGCAGCGACGGCCATTCCCGCCCCGCCGCACAAAATCTCGCCAACAGTCGCGTTGGTGGAAGTGACGAAGTCCAAGTCGCCGCCGCCAGACATCATCTCGAACTCCTGGACGCAGCGGGACTCGCAAGGGTGGCTCTGGTCGCAGCTGCACATGTGGAGGATAGGTTTGTTGATTATATATGTACATGTATATAAGATAAGTATATGCAGTTTATACAGAAAAAGAGAGAAGCAAGAAAAGGATAACAAAGATAAACATAAGCGACTTAAGATAAACACACACGCGCAAGAAAACGAGAAAGGTACTCTGCCCCCCACTTCACCTGTGCACTTCAATCGGGGGAAGCTCATACAGCAGGATGTCGCCAGCGTCGCCGGAGATGAAGGCGCCGCACTTGCACGGAGCCACCTGCTGGGACGTCGCCCTGAGAGAAAGAAAGGTTGCGTCGTCAGTTGCAGGTCAAGGGTAAAAGGAAAACAAGAATAAAGTAAATACTCAGGAAATACCATCGCCATTCTAAAGTCAACAAAGTGACATCCAACAAACATTAAGAGAAATAATGAGGGATAGATTTAAAGGTTCCCCATTCATTATATTTTTCTGGGTGCTCTATGTGCATAGATTAGGATTTTAATTTCCCCCCAAATGACTTTTATTCAGGAAATACACGTCCACATTATTATTAATTATTTTACCAGCGGAACAGAAATAAATTTACTTACGCAGCAAACAGGAAAGCGAACAAAAGGCAACGCAGCATCTTGGAATCTGGCAAGAATGGAAATTTAGAAATGATCATTTATGAAACTTAAGAACTATCGTTTATCACAAAACCTAAAAATATGTTATATGACCTTAAAACCTGCACAGTATCCTAGGAATACATAGAACATTTATAAGATTTAGGAGACAACATCAAGACGTAAATTGAGACACAAACTTAAGGTGAGGTTTGGTCGGGTTGTGTTGTTCGGGTCGAAGGCGCTGCCGCTTTATATACTCCTTTGGTTGTGGGAATATTTCCATACTTGCTCACGTGGGAACCGTTTTGCTGATGTGAAATCCTATACCTGTCTGTAAGGAATTTGAATTCTGATAAGTTTTCTAGATTACTCATGTAGGCATACTTGGCTCATACATATGGTATGGTGTATATATATATATACATACATTTATGTATTTAAAAAAAAATATATATAATATAATATATATATTTAAATATAAATAGACTGTATATCATACTTAGGCAATGTATTATTATATTCACATATAGGTAAGGTGAGGAGCGTTAAAGTCAAAGCGTATCACTATTATTATATTCATGTATGTATATATATTATATATATATATATATATATATATATGTATAATGTAGAGTTTGTATACATTACATATAGCATTAGTATGGTCAATCTTTCGCTAGAAGCCAGGAGGATGGCTATGTGATTTTCTAGTCTGAAATACCACATAACCGAAGCCGTGGTGTGTGAAATACCCGAATTGTACCAACTAAGGATAGTTATATTCAGCTGATGAGTCTGTTTTAGTAATTCTAGAACTTTGGAGTTTTTTGATCTTAGGGGGTACATAAGAAAAGAGTGGTGAAAGTAGGTGAGTATGAAAAAACAGTGAAGAGAAAGATGGAATGGGGAGGGAGGGAAGAGGAGGGATAAAAATCAATGGAGAGGTGGAGGAGGAGGCGTGGGTGTGGTGGAGTGTGCGAGCAAGGTATGGGAAGATTGTGGTAAAAGATGTGCGTATCGTGGGTCGTGCAATTTGTCACTGGTACAATTTCCATCCATCAATCGTAGCTGGTCTGACACAGGTCCTGTAGATTTCCCTTCACGGCGCAGGAATGTTTCTGTCACACAGAACACCAGTCACTTCTAATAGATATATATATAGATGTGTGTTGTGTGTGAATAAATTTAATGAAAGATAAAAACTTGCTATAGGGTAAATAGTCCGTTATTAAATGCAACAGTTATT